AGAAACGTAATACGTAGCAACTGCACAAAACAAGAAATGAGATAACTTTGAAAAAAAAATTGCAAAATTCATAATTTATGCTCATAAAATACATTATATTCGATTATAATCTATTATATTGGATTGAAATGATTCATAAAATATTATGGTTTTAACCCATTTACTGTGAATTATATTGATCTAAAAAATACTAGGATTATAATCCATTTATAATCCATTGATCCATTATTTTTGTAACTTGATAGATACTGACTATAAAAAGACAATATAATCGATTATTATCCATGGAACCTCAGTGCGGATATTGCAATTTTTAAATATGAAAAATGTTTACCAGCGAGTGGCTTAGCTTCAGTTTTGTTTAAGTCATCAGGCATCACTGTATTTTAGTCAGAACGTTAAAAAACAATATTTACAGAAAGAGAAATTTTCTGAACTTACAATGGCAGCTGTAATTAACATAATAAGGCGCTAACATTAAGTTTTACTCAACTTTTTGTGCCGAGTTTTTGCTTATATGTGCTTATATGTTTTTGCGTGAATTGACTTTCAAATGTACAGTAAAAGGGAAAACATCTCAAAAAAAACTTTTTATCTTCCACGACTGTCATTGGTGGAACAAAAATGTTTGCCGGATGTTCACTCAAATTAGTTTTCTAAGAACACAAAATGAAATTTTGCCTCAAGCATACACATATCTTCTACGGGTGGCCGTAATCCATTTTTCAGAGACTTTTAAGAGTCTTACTTAAGAGTACCTCGAAAAACCCCCTAGATCATAGTGACTAGAAAATATATTGCTTTTATTAGAAAATTAGGTTGTTTGATGCCAAAAACATACTTTGTAGCTATATAGCGATATCAGGAACAAACCGCTTGCCCCGCATCACAAAAGCTCCATCTGAAGTTGCTTGTTTCCCCTGATCGAAATTGCTTGTTTCAGAAATTGCTTGTTTCCCCTGATCGAGAGTTCTGTGGGTTGATTATTCACTTTGATCCCGTTATGAGTAATTGTCCACAGAGAGCAAAGGTAAACCATACGAACTTAAAACTTGTGAAAACTGTAATCCTACTAAGTCACGGAACAGGAAATGGAGCTTTTTTTCACGAAAGTTTTTTTTTCTATATTACAAACTCTCAAGGTTCGTAGTACTGCTATTATGCGTAAATTGTGTTTCAAATAATTAATTTGTACAGTATACAAATTTCTTATATCAGCCGAAAAATTTTGTTGTCTTGAGCTCAACTTTAAAAAGATATTTTACGCTATTAACGCGTAAGCCGAAAATTAATCGCTCTTAGAAACCGTGCCAAATTGGTTGAAGCAAGTTATTTGTTATAATTGCTACGTTATTAGTACCGAAATCTATCACTTGTACTTAAAATGGTGTGTGGGTGGATGATTTAAAAAAGTTTCAATTTCTTCAAAATAATTGCGCGAAATGACTTTCAAATGGACACTAACAGGGAAACCATCTTTGAAACACTAGGCCAGCTTTTTTTGAACCCCAAAGTTTGGCCCAGTTTTTGCCCAATTTAGTTTTTTAAGTGCCCTAAGTTTAAATTTGCAGTTAGCATACACTTTCTTCTATACTCCCATCACAATATGTGCACGCCATAGTTGTTATTGCGAACAAAAACAAGTAAAAACTATTAGTTGACCTTCCCTCTATAAAATGCTTTAAAGAATGTTCATTGAGTCTTTTTCCAATGTTTAAAAATTATTTATATTTAAAGTTTATATATTTTTTTCATTTTTGATTGAAAAGTTCATAGTTTTTTTTTAAATAAACACTGCTTCATAGACCTTAAGGCAGTCGAAATTTTCAGGGCTTCGGCCTGATACGAACAGTCGTGCAAAAATTAAAACACGAATAGGAGAAATGGAGTATCTTGTCAACTATTTCCTTTCAAAAATGTTGACAATTAATTTTGTTTTCATTTTCGCGCGTTCCTATTTGTCTTACTCACTATTTATATAATATGAAAAATTTTAAATAAAATCTTTTTTCTGAAAATTGTTTTAAGCTATTGAAAATGTTGGCAGCCAAAGTTGAAAATCCTGAAAATTGAAATAGGGGGGGGGGGGTAGTTAACAAGATACAAAATGGAAAAAAGTAGCCTACCAGATCGATTTCATGCACGTTCTTCCAGCTTGAGAGAGCATGGGTTCAATTCCTCTGCACTTGAGAGTGCAGAAGACTTCATTTCCTTTGCGCAGATCACTCGGCTAATCGGTTTCCACAATGTCGACTTCTTGATGCAGAGCGACTAGAGTTCATATCAAACAGACTCAACAAAACCTTAGTCTTAATGGTCTTTTTGTCTTTTTGGTCACATATAAAACACTTGAAGTCCACATTCTTTGGTCAGTGTGAAGGACGTTACCTGGAAAAGACTCAGCGAACCTGGAAAATACACAAAATTTAGACTGTTGTTTGTCAAACAGATGTTCTCTAGACAAGCCAGGATGGCAAGTAAATGTTGACTGCGTAACATAATGTCATCTGAGCTAATTAGAATTATACCTTTCTTATTTTGATCCTTATAATGAAACTTCGACACTTGTGGACCAGTGTTTTTCCAAATTTGAAAGCCAGAATCATAACTCGATTGTTGTTATTTAGGAGAATCGTAAAAGCAACGCGCTCAGTTTCCAAGTTCAATATCAAGAAACAGATTTCAATGCCGATAAATCAGGTTAGATTGCTAAGAAAATTTGAAATTATAAAAAAATTATGAATGAATTAAAGCAAGTAGAGCTTGTGACTAATCCAAAAGAAAAGTTTCTGACCCGTTTTCTTATGGAACTTCTTAGTTTGTTCTTAAAGGTTACGTATTAAATCAATTTTGTTCAAAATCTAGATATCTGGTGAAAAAATAGTCAGCCAATTTAACTCGTCAACCAACATTTTATCTGGAAGCTTTCGGAAATATCAGAGTTTATAAAAAAAAATTATACAGAGCAAATTTCTGTCACTACAAAAAATAGTTCTCGGCACCTGGCAAAAAACATGAAAAGTTGCCGACGTAGTTTGATGTTGAAATAACACATTTTCCATGAATGACGCGACGTATTGTTGTACTCTTTTTTATGGAGGACTTCAAATTAGAAAATTCTGATAGTTTTATCAGGACTGCGACGAAAAAGAGTGTCACTATCAATACTTGCAAAGTATTGTTGCCTTGGTATCAGAAATGGCGCGACGAATGGTTACCATGGAAACATTTATGACGCGACATATAGAACTGAAAAATAAAATCAATTCATTAGTTTCGTGAGCTTTCAAAAATTGCTTTGAACAACCGCAAAGACGTTGGGAGTAGAAATAATAAAACGGTAAGCACGCCAATTCTGTCTGTTTATTTAAAGTACGAGCACGGCAGCTGAATGAAAAGCATGTGATAGTTATAACTCTGTTATGACTAAAATTTTAAAAATATTTGAATGAAGATAAGTCATGGGGAAGTTTGAGATTGCTAATGACAAAATTTTGCCTTAAGTTCGCAGCACATCCGTTCCATTTTAACTTAAGGTAGTGCAAAACTTTTAGTTAATCAGTTTTCAAAAAGCGAAAAATATGCATCATATATCTAAGCTTCGTAATAAAAAAGCTCTTTTTCTGAAAATTTTTTTCCTTATTTCTTAGAGAAAAGTCTATCAAAATAGATATCTAAAGAATAATTTTTTTGCTATCAAAGCATTTCATTTTTCAACCATTTTCTTGCGATTATTTGAGATACGGCGCTGAGTTTTTGTTTCACGATGGATCAATCATTTTCAGTCCTTGAAATTTAGTATTCAAAAAACTATTCGTTTGTCAGAAAAAAATGTTGCTCATAAGGAACTACTTGATAGCCCTTTCTTACCTTGTACTTCGCCATTTTTTTTAAATTTCAAAAGTGGCAATGTGATTTGCAATTGCGGAGCTATTGAAGCCATTCGCTCATTTGGTCGTAAGAAATCTTCAATTAGTCTTTTCCAGTTTTGATCACTCTTCTCATAAGTTTTTTTTCTGAAGACGGTTGGAACGTGATTTAGTTTTATTTATTTACAGAGATTGTGTACACAAGCTTTCAATTTAAATATATGTGCCTCAATTGCTGCAGCTGCAAATAATATGATGATACAACGGTATTCATGTTGTTTCTGAGTGGCAACTTTACTGCAACATTTAGAATTTGTCAAACTGCTATACTCTATGAGTGAGAATCTGATAAAAAAACGTAGCATCAGCAATTCATAAACAAGAATAGCAGAACATTCAACTGAAATTTTTTTTTCAAGCAAAAACAAAACTGAAGACTGAGACTTGTACAAAATGAAACTGACGTTTGTTTTTGCTGGCAAATAGTCTTGAAACAAAAAAAATTTGCCCTGAGCAACGAAGTTTTAAATGTTTTTTTTTTCTAGCTAGGAAAATTTCAATACGGTAAATCGTTGATTCCGCAACTGATGTAGTTATTACCTAATTTGCTTAACAGCTCTGGTAATTTAATGTCAATTATGATTAGTAAAAGCACATCGAGCAGGTTTCTTTACATTTTCTTTCCCAAAAACTATTTGATATGAATTAAGGGACCGCCGGAACACTCAGGGCGCTTCCCTGATATACGAGTTCATACATTGATGTTAATTTAGAAAAACAACCAAATTGGGATTTTCAATAAACAGTTTTCAGATCGACAGTAAAATTTTCCACTGTTTAAAATTTAACTTTTCAACCAAAATGTATCAAAATCTATCAACAGCAAAATTTTACCCCAAAAATACAGCCTTTGCAAGTACAAAAAACTAATTACAAAAAAAACAACTATTCAAACAAAAAAGATTTAATGGCTATTGTTCGACTGCTCTACACAACTTTTTTTGATTGTTTTTTTTTGTACTGACGTTTTGCAAGACCTTCTGTTGGCAATCTTTTTGTTCATATTGTACTTTTGCTTAATTTTCAGCAGTTTAAATTTTATTCATTTCTTCTTGCCAATTCATTCTGATGCAAGAATAAAAATTCTATCTTGAAACCAGATACGCATTCAAATTACAACACTTCTAATTTCTCATGCATTTATGCTGTTGCTTTTTTGCAGAGTAGCTTAGATATTATTTCTTCTGATATTTTGTGTTTGGAGAGACACTTATCAACAAGCTAACAATATGGCAGAATTTGAGAAAACGCAACTCTTTGAAATCTATTCAGAGCTGGTGAGTGCCCTGTGGATTTTAAATTTCAGTTTATTGATTGGCTATCAAAACCCGCGCTTAATAGGCAGGATTTTTTATCAGATTTTTTGTGAGTCAAAACAATTAGCCGACTTTCCATTTTTAAGAAGCGTGTTACAAAAAACAAATCGCCTTGAATTTTTTCATCTGACATAATCAAGTTTTTGATAGAAAGTTGTCCTAAAATCTGAGTTAGATGAATATTTTAGCATTTAAATTAATAAGTTAAGCAAAGGTGCGTTTCCATAGGCACGAAACATTTCTTAAATTATCTGTTTGATTAGACATTTTTCATTGAACACAAGTTTTATTAACCTATTGTACTTTTTTCCATTTCGAGTAACTTTGGGTTTAACCCAGTTAAATATCAATTAAACTTTTCGAACCTTAAAAAAATTGAACTTGAAACAGCATTCTTTGACCCACAGGTAGAGACTGAGTCAGTATTTGCATTTTACCATTGCACTGAGGGGGAGGCAGATATGCTAGAGACGACCGGGAAAATAAAGTGCTCAAGTCTGATGGGTGAAAAAAACGACACGTTAGTACTTTTCCTCTTATCATTTTTTAATTGAGAAGCTAACTGTAAACAAAAAATTGTCGACCTAGAACCATTCAAGTTGGTTAGTACTGTTTTTGCTTGGATGTAACATCCTTCTTCTTAACACGACCCAAATTACAGTGGTGGCAAATTTCCCGGCAAAGGTGAAAACAAATGAAAAAAAAATAGCAATAAAAAACCTTTCATTTCAGCAAGCCTTTTTTTCAAAGGGTTGCCCATGTTTTTAAAAATTTCGTTAACTATCTAATTTCAGTCAAGCAGTGCCAAAGAAATATCGTACAAATGAATCAATCTGTATTTTTTTTCGACTTTTTTATGTTTCTTATAGGCTTCAAAATGAAAAGAAAATCTCAAAGATATGATTTTTTTAACAAAGGGTGTCACAGAGATTTTTAAGTTGCTTTATTTTAAAGCGTCTGCTATCAAGTTGAAACCAATAACATTTCTGATCAAGTTCTTGAGCTAAAATTTTTGCTCTTGTAGTAATGAGAAAAATAGTGCCCTTGCTTCTCCAAAAAATGTAGTATCCATAGCTTTTTAAATGATTAACTTCTTTTTATCACGCAATTATGTATAATTATTGATTCAAGGGAGCTAACAGTTCTTCTATAACTGTTAAAAACATAAAAAGCATTTTTCGGATTCTACTAATTCTGTAAAAGTGTAGCCTCAGAATTGATTGAAAACAAAGCGTGCATCCGTAATTATTGAAGATCCAATTGCGGTCTTTATTTAGACAGCAGCAGTGACTACAACTCAAATTAAAGTACTCTGAGAGCAAAAACAGCTCATGTTATTGGTCTCAAACTAGTGTCTGTTTTTCCCCAGCTGTCTTAAATTGATGAAGATTTTGACAACAACCTTTTAAAACCTTTTATCAGCTCATACAATGAGCTATTCTAAGTGAACACAAAAAGAACGCAATTAATTAAACGCCATACCTGAAAAACTCAATTGCAGTAAATTCTGCATTAACTAAAATAAAAAAGAAGCGCTGTTCTTACAATTTTTTTAATCTTCGAAAGTCCCTCACAGTTTTCAAGCAGCTTTAATTGCGATCAACTCAATTTGTCCCAATTTTGAAACACATTAAGCAACAAAAACTTTTCTTTGAAACCAAACAGGGAAAATAATGCAGAAGGTTTTTCTTTTGCTGACTCTAAAATTTTGCTTTGAACTTCAAAAATGACTCCAATAACAAATTTCACTATTTCAAGGAAACGAAAACAATTTTTTTTGGCTGGAACGTGTTCTAAATGTATTAAAAAACTTTTTTTTGTAGAATTCAAAAAACTTCTTTTAGCTTTAATCACAAATTAATTTCTAAGCAACTCAAATCCATTTTTCTTAATCGATAGTGCGTATATGGCAAACTTTTAATGACATTTTCCTTTCATATCCTGATTTGCTTTCTTATTGGTAAAATAATTTGAGAAGGCAAAACCTAATCATACGTTTCTTGACAATATGAGGTCATTTGAGCAGTTTTCGCTTGCCTCGACTCATTTTGGTATGATTTCTGCGCCGGTTTAATTCACCGCTTACGTGTAGTTGAACACATTTTATTGCTCGGTTATTGTCTCAAACCCCCTCGAGCTGACATATACTAGGTTTCAAAAAGCAAAACATCAAATTGAACACTTTAAAATGGATATTTGCATGTTAATTTTCTCATATCTCAGGCCAAAATTTCATGCATAAAGCTCATCTTGACATTGGTTTTTTCAATTTAATGATTCATCATAGTATTGTGTAGGTGTTCCATAAAAATTGAGAAAGAGTATTTTTAAATTTGTCTTTGTTTTTGTTGATATGATGGGAACAAAAAGTTTTTCCCATTTTCGAAAACTTTTTTTTAGTTATGGAATTACCTTCATTGTCAAAAAGAAGAATAGTTTTCAAGATGTCATGGACAAAGATTTTGACACTTTCATCAAACTTCCCAGAAAATGGGTAGAGGACCAAGATCTCAGCAATTTTTGGACTATTACTCATATAGCGATCGATGGTGATGATGAAACGACACAACTAACAATTGAGGGAAAGAAACAGTTTTTGGACATTTCAGATGCAGACTTTGTGGCTCGGGGTGAACGAAATTATCCAGATGTCGATATTTTTTTAGTATGTCTTGAAATCAAGTAATCTCAACGTGTTTTCTAGTTGAGGTCCCAAACCTGCATATTCATTTTGGTGGACTTCAGTTGTTCTAGAATGATTACCAGACTAATACCGAAGGAAAGTTTTTGGGTGCCTCAAAGATTGCTCTCAGATCATCGACTTAAAGAAGTTGTCAATGAAAATTTTCGAAACAGTAATGGGAAGAAATGGTTTCATGTTTTTGACTAAAATTGGCTACAAAAATGTTTTTAGAAGAACATTATTTCATATTAAACCGTAAATTTGTTCTGTTTGGAACATGAAAGAAACTTTGAAACAGAATTATTTTTTTATAAAGTTTGAGCTTTCTTTACAGCAAACTTCTAGAACGCTTGCAGTAAGTTGGGTTTTTTTCGAAGGAGTTTGTATAGTTTTTTCTATGCTCATGGACGAGTTAAGAAAAAATAGGTATCAGGACTCGCTTGTCCTTAGGATTTGGCCTAGTTACGGCAAAAAAAGGGTATGGTTGATTACTCAAATCAGGGTCCTATTTTTTTGCAAAAAAAAAACTTCAATGTTTAAACGACCTTTGATTCCAAAAAAATGGATCGTTCCGTGATCATTCTAGGCTAGTTGCACAGGCACAGTATGAGCTTGCCTAAATTAGTTGCTCTCAAGTAACCTCTGTCGCTTTTGTTATTTCGTTTTAGTTTTTTGCCAGTCCAAGCTATTACTTCCACTACACGACAAAAGAAAATGTGCAGAAGATAATATCCTCTGGGTTTATTAAATCTGGTAGCAACCACAAGAAATTTTCAGGGTTCGTAGCATTTTCATACTCAACCAAATACCAAACACTGTGTTTGTATTAGGATAATATTCAAAGATTTGAAGTTTCCTTTTTATTTGTTTGAGGTTATTTGTTTGAGGTTTTGCCAAGAGATTTCATAATAATTTTACAGCTTTTGTAATTTAAAATAAATTTTTACTTCTCACTGCCTACTTTTTAAAATATATTTTTTTACTTGTCAGTCTGAACTTTGGAAAAAGTGTAAGCTTATGCTCGGAGTGGACTGGTTTTTCAGACCATGATTGCTGATCATTACGAGACCATTCTGTGCACTGGATAGGAGCACAACTTTGTGTCTGTATGTTCCTGGATTCCAGAGACAAGTTTTTAAACATGTTAAATTTTGCCGGAACGATCAAAAAAAATGAAAGAACTTAACAAGAACGAAGGGAGCGTCCTTATTGCGGAATCCGCTTACATTTCCCAAAAAGCTCAGTTTAGCCTCGCCATGATTGAACTGATAATTGTTTATGGATTTTTGATTCATAATTAACAAGTAGAGATAAAAGCAAAAATAATTTTTCATCATATAGTTATTTGAAAATTGTAAAAAAAGGTTTTGAATGAATTGACGCTTTTTCTAGTACCAACACATTATGCTCGCAACGTGTACGCCGCAAAAACCAATTCAAGTTGAGGCAAGTCTAATGACAACTCGTTTTTCGTATATTCTTAGTTTTATCTATTGGTATGCAAAATATACCGCGAAATGCGAAATGCGACAACTCGTCAGGAGAGAATTTGTATATGACACCTCCTATATAGAGATCTATTAGCTTTATCCATTGGTATGCGAACTACGAAAAGTATTTAGAAATTTTTTGTTCTAAGCACGGCAAATTTCGACGATAAACAATAATTTAAGATTTATATCAAATGTTTGGCTGCAATTTGAATGGAATCTGAGAATTCAACGTTTCCGCTAATCTTTTCAAGTTTTGTGCAAAATTAACGAACTAATTCAAGAAATTATATTGCGTCAAAGCAAATTGAACTATTTTTAAGCCACATCTCACCACGGTTTGGATGAAACCGCATTTTTGGCTGATTTAATATTTTTATAAATTTAAATCGTGGATTTGTTTGAGCGCAAAAAAGGATTTGTTTGTTTGAAAGTCGGTTCAATAATGCAAAACATTGTTTCACTGTGAATCAAAAAATAATGTCTTTTGTTTTATTTCAGTGTGTACAAGCCGTGTGTTTGCATCACTGATGCTGATTTTGAAGCCGATACTAAATACATCACGAACCAGTGCTTTGGCAATGTAGAGAATGAAAAAAAAGAAGAAAAGTTAGTTGCATATATCCAGTTGCCGAAAAAATCAGTTCATGAGTACGCAATTCAAAACGGATTTGAAATATTGCGATATAAGTTTCGGCCACAGCGCAGGTCATTTGTTGTGACTACAGGAGCCGAACCGCTTTACTTGGACAAAATTGAGGACTGGGGTTTCGGATATCGAAACTTGTAAACTGTGTTTTGAGCTGCAACAAGAAATGATCACCATGAAACTTTGAAACTCATCGAAACTCATCATAAAAGACAGTAATTACAAAAATATTTTTGTAAAAGTTTCATTTAATTGCAATGTTTCTGTGTGTTACTGGTCAATTAGGTTGAACTTAGTTACAAAGGAATCGATTAATTTGTTAAAATTTTAGACCACCAAAATCCTTTATATTTGATTTCTTTTTGCTTTTCTTAGCTGTGAGATATCAGATAAAAAGTTGAATACCACTTTTTGGCAATTTTGTACGGGATATAATACAACTTTTTGGCGGGATATGATTTTAAATCAAATTGCCTTATTATTCATTTCCTTTTAGCAGCATTCATAATTAGTGACCATAAATTTGGACACAGTATAAAAATCAGCACTGTGCCAATTCTGAACTGCGTTTTGAGCTGCAACAAGAAATGATCACCCTGAAACTTTGAAACTCATCGAAACTCATCATAAAAAACAGTAATTACAAAAACATTTTTGGAAAAGTTTCATTTAATTGCAATGTTTCTGTGTGTTACTGGTCAATTAGGTTGAACTTAGTTACATCGAATTGAACAATAATTTAACAATTCGGGTATTTCGCTTTGACTTCAACGTATTCATTCGTTCATATTTCTTTTATAGGTCGTTGTGATGGATAAGAATGAACACCGTAGTAAACTAGATTGAAGTGACTAATTATGGCATCTTCCCCAGTAATATATGAGATTATAGGAGACAATTTGTCTACTTGATTGAATTTGAAGGATAGTTGTACGAAAATCGAGACTTGTGATTTGCAATTCGAGCTAGTCGTGAAATCTCACCGGTGAAATTCAACTTTCATATAACTCAACAGGTTAAACTTCACTTTGCTTAGGGCATATTGAATCTGTTTATTAAAATGACCAATATTTTTAAACAAAATTATGATAAAATTTTCACTGAAATTATTACAAACTAGCAGAGTTAAAATTGAATTAAGCAAATTATCTATGAATTTCAGTTTTGATTTTTTATTTAGTTCGCGTACCAGCATGTATGTGTTTGATGAAGTCAGTCTTCGTTGCTTTGATGCATTATAAGACTGATACACGGCTATAGCTATCAATGAGAAGAAGGTCGAGGGTGGGTAGGTTGTTGCAATTGCGCAATTGCTTTCTTCTGCTCAAATCTGGTTGCCACAATATTTTTCCGAATAATTTTAACACAACACCAATATCTGACTGAACAATCTGAGGGCAAAATTTCGAGGCTTCTTTGAATCAAGAAGCCACACAAAACCTCCCACAAAAGACCAAAAGCAACTTTGTTCCCAAAAAAGACAATCGCGCTAGAAAAATTGACCACTATCTCCATTTACTTAATTAAGATAAATTTGCAAAAAAAATTTTGCACGACGCAAAACAAAAATCTAAAGGAAAAAATTCAATTTTAAATCAAATTAAAAGGATTGAAATTAATCCAAAGTTTGATATAAACAAGTGATTACAAGTGAGGGCAACAAAGGAATCGATTAATTTGTTAAAATTTTAGACCACCAAAATCCTTTATATTTGATTTCTTTTTGTTTTTCTTAGCTGTGAGATATCAGATAAAAAATTGAATACCACTTTTTGGCAATTTTGTACGGGATATAATACAACTTTTTGGCGGGATATGATTTTAAATCAAATTGCCTCATTATTCATTTCCTTTTAGCAGCATTCATAATTAGTGACCATAAATTTGGACACAGTATAAAAATCAGCACTGTGCCAATTCTGAACAACTTCTATTAGCAATTTTAAGTTTTTATTTTTTCCAGACAACAATAAAAAAAATAAGACAATTTGTTTTTGCCTACGAACACTATGCCGTGTACAATGAAAACTAGCGTATAAACACCCCCTGAGATTTTTTTCACGAGCGTTAAGAATAAAACCAATATTACCGCTGCGAAAACACACAAGGTCAGTCGGAATTAAATGAATTCAGACTTAATAAACAATACACCAATCTTAATTTAAGCAGAATCAACCGTACAATATCTACCAATACCATTGCCAAGCGCGGATCGAGAGTTTTCTCGAGGGGGGAGGCGGATTCTCGAGGGGGAGGCGGATTTTCTCGAGGGGGGAGGCGGATCACTATAAAAACCTCATTTCGACCAAATTTTCTGCACCGCAGGCAAATTTTTCAATTTTCTAAAAAGCAGGCCAAAAAAAGCGTTTTTAGCAATTTTTTGGAAAATATTGACCAAAAAATTGCGTTTTTTCCGCGCGCGCTCCCCCCTGAAAGTTTGTATATATTGGCGCCGAAAATGGATATCTCAAACTAGTACAAAGGGGGGACCCTTTGGATCGGCAGGGGGTCGAATCACTGAGAGAGGGGGCCTCCCCCCCTAAATCCGCTACTGGCCATTGTCCATTTCCTCTAATTGAGTTACCGTAGATAGAACCCCTTTTTAGTTTTTGATTTTTTTAAAATATAATTTGCAGTTCAAAGATACTCTCAAATTAAACTTCAAAATTTTGAATGGGTGATGAAATTTGTATACTCTTAACCATCTAACTTAACATTTCCATTTTTTTTTCTCATAAAAACTGAGAAATGAATCAAATTAGACGTCCATCTATTGGAGTTGTCATTTTTTTTATCCTTAATTGATTATTCTGCTTTTATCCAAACACGTTTTTTTTTCTAAAAGATCAGCAATGGAACTTGCACTTATGATCGAAAAAAATTGATGCTGCCAGAAAACTTTGCTAAGCGTTAAAAGGCTGAAAACTTTTTTTGAGCGGTTCAAATCGAGACTTGTGATTTGCAATTAGAGTTTCTCATGAAAAACTGCTTGGTGAAATTCACATGGCTTAGCATAGCCTTCATGTTTCCTGTCCTGATCATTAGGGCATATCCAGTCCGTTTATTTAAAAGAACTTTAATTTAATACAAAATTCAGTAGAAGTACTTGTCGCAAAATAGCAACTAATTGTAATTTGGCAGAATTTCTGCGAATTTCAATTTTGGTTTTTTATTTAGTTCGCGTACCAGCTTCTATGTGTTTGACGTAGTCGCAGTTGATTTGATGCACTATAAGTCTAAACTATCAATGAAACGCCTGTAACTATCAATGAGAAGCGTGCCGGGTTGTGCAGATAGTGGCATTTGCGCAATTTCTTCGTTCTAATCAAAAATGGTTGACACATTGTTTTTCCGAACATTTACACAACAGCCATATCCTGAACAAGTTTTTAGAGGCGACTTTGACTCTTGTCGAACAAAATTTTCCCCAAGAGGTCAAGAAAAAAATTTGATTCCAAAAAATGACAATCGCGCTACGATCGCACTGTAAAAATGTTCAAAAACTAACGCTATTTACTCAATTTAGACAAAAATTTTGTGAAACATAACGTTTGTGGAGTGGAATAATTTTTACGTATGCTTTTTTATGTGCATGAAAATACAATATTTGAACGGGATCGCGCGCCAAAAATAAATTGGTCGCTAAAATCTTTCAAAAATGGTTTTTTGATCTAAAATTTCAAAAAAAAATGACCAAAAAAACTGTCGAAAGATCTCGGGGGCTTCAAAAATTACATCGTCGGGGGGATGATTATGTGAGGATGGGGGTTGGGTTATTGGTTATAACGAACAAAAAGGCAAATGTTGGGCAAACTCTGAAATTTAAGGGTTAGAAATAGAGTAGGCTGTACACTCGTTTTGCTAATATTTTTTGTCACTGATATAATAAGCGCAAAAATTCTTGCAAATTTCTGAAAGACGCGAAACAAAAAGTGGAAAAACACTCAATTTAATTCTTATTTGATGCTCTTTTTTAGTTCTAAATTTGATAAAAACAACGGACTATAATTTTTTTTTTCATTTTTCATTTTGTTGTTTGAGGGCAACATCGGAATCGAATAAATTGTTAAAATTCTAGACCCAAAAATCCATTTTGTTTTTTTTCTTCGTTTTTTATAGATGTGGGATATCAAATAACAAATTTAAATACCTTTTGTTGGTCATTCCGTCTACGGGATATAATTTTTAATCAAATTTTCCTGTTAAATTTGAAATTCTTGTTACTAGCTTTCGTAATTAGTGACATTATTTTTGGACAACTTTAAATAAAATCAGCACTTGGCCATTTCTTAACTTCTTTTGTTAGCAAATGTGAGTTTTGTTCATTATTTCCAGACAACAATAAGAAACTCTGGCATTTTTTGCCTAGAAGTGAACTTTTTTTCGTGTTCAAGTCTGACTTGAAACTTTTGTCGTGTTCAATGGAAACCGGAATACGGAAAAAATTGACAAAATATTTAAAATAACGTATCAAAAAACGTTGGATCAACAAACTGCCGGACATCATTTTTTAAATGGAAACCCCGCTCGATAGTTTTCTTCAATTTTATAACTGAGGTTTTCATTTTATCTGACTATCCGGTAATGTAGAGAGTTGCGCGGTTATCATGGCGAGACCCTGATTGCTAATTAAAGTATTGTAAAAAAACTTAACTATTTCATTAGCTGAGCTCAGTTTGATAAGCTGGGCACACCAATCGACTTTTTGGCTCTGAGAGCTCTCAGGAGATATTAAAACACTGAATGGTTCTTCGAACATTGACTTATCTCATTTTCAGTGGAAAAACCAGGGACGGAGTCAGCTCCCCTCCCCTCCCCTCAGGAATTCCACCCCCTCACCAACCAAAGTGTCCTTCTTTGGTGTTTTTGACATCATTTTCGAACGACCAACCGCAAAGTTTTCTACGCGCCAAACGCATTTTTTGATCAGAATTTTCCTTTTTTTTATCTGTTTTTTCCATCATTTCACCCCCAGCAGTTTCAACAATTTTTCAGCCAATCAACGTCTACTAAACAGTCCAAAGTTGATAGGTTTTCTAGCTTGTTTTTTTTTCAGACTTTCGAATAACGAAATAAATGAATTAAAAAATTGGTTTCAATAACTTTTGATATTCCGGTCATCCATCTGGCATGAGTGGTTTAGGCAAATTAATTAATTCCATCAATCTACGGAGAAAATTATTCAACCCATTTTTAGCAGTTTCTTGTTTGTGCAACTCGGGCTGAGCAAAATCATTTTTGAAAGAGAACATTGTTTTTCGGGAAAAACACTTTTCAAAAGATGTCTCAAAACAGTATTTTTCCTTTGATTTTCATTCTTTCG